CACCAGTGCTTGTCACTGTCTTCTTGCCATGCTCAGAGCACAGTGTGGGGTGGGGCCCTTCACTCTGCAGGAAAGGCAGAGAGCCATCTTCCCCCTGCGCCAGGCAGCATCCAGGGGTGCTAGGCACACTCTGCGCTGGCTTGGGAAGGTCCACAGCAGCCGCCACAAGTGACCACAGACAGGTGGGAGCAAAGTGACCACAGGCACCACCTACAGGAGGTGGAAGTGTGACACAGGCACACCATGCGCTCCTGACCTTCCCTTCCCTGCGCTCCTGCAGCCAGCATCTCCTCCTCAGGGGGACATGACAGCTGGATGAGGCCACTCCACATTCAATCCCAACCCCAGCTACACCCACAGAAGCCCCTCTCCAAACAGGGCCTGTTCCATCCCAGGCGTGACAAAAGCCTTCTCAGCCAACCCAGGCCAAGGCAGGGGCTGCACTCACAGAGCAGGCTGTGGTCCTGAGACGGTGCCCAGGGATGCCTGTGTGGCTGCCGAGGCCACAGATGGCCCAGGCAGTGGCAGCAGCCGGCCTGGAGGCGACAGTGCCAGTGCCGGGACGGAGGCCAGCATGGGGGCAGCCTCCGCACTCAGTCACCCGCGCCCTGACAGGGCTGTGCTGTGGCCTGGGCCTGCTTCATAGGAGGCGCCAACCACGGGAAGACTCTTCAACAGAGCCACCAGTCACAGGAAGCCTCCGCCAGGGCACCGCGGCTCTTGTTATTTGCTATGTTTGGTGACAAGGTCTTATTGTGCTATGTCGTCCATGCTGATTCTAAACATCTGAGCTCAAGTGACCATCTTGCCACAGCCTCCCAGGTACCCAGGACCTCGGGTGTGTGCCACTGCGCCCAGCTGGCCAGAGCCTCTCACCAGCCCACCTGCTCAATGGCCCATCCATGAGAGATGCTGTGTCCTGAGCCCCAGCTGGCAGGGCACAGACCCCAGCCCTTCTCTCCCATCTGGAGGCTCTGCTGACAGAACGACACCAACATACACTCACCCCTGGGCACCCCCAGACCAGCTCATCACCCCTGGCCTGGATGCCGAGGCAACCACGCATCCCACATCCACTCCACTCACAGCCACAGCCACTTCCTAGGGGAAGGGACAGCCACCAAGCAGGGCCACTCCTCAGCACTGAGCCACAAACAGAGATCCGCGTCCACCAGACACAGGACACAGCTGGACACAGCAACACCCCCCCCCCATCCCAGCCATTCGGAAGGCTGAGGCTGGCCTGGGCAACTTGGTGAGACCCTACCCCAAAACGAAACTGGACACGGGTTGCCAATTTTCCCCAAAAAAACAGATTCCAATATCTATGGCAGCACGATTCCTGGCATCAAGAAGGTGGAAATCACCCAAGAGTCCAAGCGCAGGTGACAGAAGAGCAGGACAGCCCATGCGACAGGAGCGCGCTGCGGTCTGGAGGCGGCAAGGAGCGGCAGCAGCGACCACATAACAGTATGAGTGCTTTTCTTTCTCTTTCATCTTTTGAGACAGGGTCTCCCTCCGCAGCTCAGGACAGCCTTGAGCTCACTCTGTCGCCCAGGCTGGTCTGGATCCTCCCCTGCCTCAGCCTCCTGCTGCCAGGACGGCAGGCGTGTGGCCCACATCCAGGGCTCGAACTGAACGAACACCTGAAGACCACGGTGATGGGTGTGACTCAGTGTCTGTCTTTACCTCCAAACATTTTAAAAAGAAATAAAACGTCGATATAGGTTATGACATGAATGGACCTCAAAAACATGCCCCGGGTGACAAGCTAGACGCAAAGGTCACATGGTATGTGACTGAATTGATACAAAACACCCTGAACAGGGGAATCCAGACAGAAAGCCGATTAGCAGGCTGTCAGGTCAGGGGCTGGGGGAGGGGACGGGGTCTCCTTGGAAGGGGGAAGAAATTTCAAAGCCACTACTGACAGCTCTCAGCTGCGTGTATAACACCCCACCAAAGGTGAGGGTCCAGGAACCCTAGAGACCCCAAAGCCAGCAGGTTGCAAGCCCTTGTAAGTGCAGGCAGCCTCCCAAATGCACGCTTAACACAGAGAGGAGGGGGATGAACCCATGGCTGTACATCCCCAGCCCTTTTGTTAAAATTTGAAGACAGGCTCTTTAAAAATATATATATTTTATTTATTTACATATTTATTTATTTATTCTGTACAAGGTCTCGCTACACAGCTCAGACTCAGTGAGCCTCCTGTCTCAGCCTCCCCAGCGCTGGGATTATAGGCATGTACCACCTTGCCCAGTTTTGGTGGCCAGCTCAGCACAGGGCGCATGGCATCAGTATGGGACCTCGAACCCGGGTCCTTGCACTTTTCAGGCAGGCACTTAGACCACCGAGCTATTTCCCTGGCCTAAAGACAGGGTCTTGCTGAGTTGCAAAGTTGCCCAGGCTGGACTCAAAACTTTCTATCCTCTTGCCTCAGCCTCCAGAGGCTGGAGTGACAAGTGTGTACCGTCACACCCAGCTCAGGTACAATTTTTATTTTTCAAAGACTTCTGATCTACTGTCAGTTGGACCTAAGGTGCAGGGACCACAGGAGGCAGCAGCTCCTCCCTCCCTTGCTGATGGTACCCGCCCAGCCCAGGCATGCTTCAGGCTGTTACCTCTCTCGCTCCTGTTTCCCCCAAGACCACACCAGCTCAACATGCCCCTAACCTTATGTGGCCTGTGCACCTCTGTCCCGACACCCAACACCCTCTCAGGTGCAAAAAGTGTCACTAAGTGAATGGCTGGCCTGTCTTAATTTTACAGGGCTGGGTTCTGAGGCCCAGGGAGGTTAAAAAACCTGTCTGGTGTCATGCAGCACAGGGCCACAGCACCCCCAGCACAGCAGGCAGCCTCCCCATGGAGGACCCAGGCACCTGTGGTAAAGGACTGCTGTCCCCAGACATTCCCAGCAGAGAGCCTGAGCAACAGCTATGCCTCTCCTGTCTACAGGTGCAAGCACCCTGGCGTCCAAGCAGGGACAGGTGCCGGCCACAGCAGGCCACCAGCCTGGGCGTGAGCCTGCTCATGCTGGTCCTAGCCGGCCCACAGTGGCACAGGGCAGGGTACAGAGCCTAACTCTAGAGCGCTGCAGGGTTGCTGACTGCCAGAAGTGTCACGGCCTCAGGGCCCAGACAGGGGGCAAGGACCCTTCAGGTGACACCAGCTGCCACCATTTACAATGACAAATAATGCCCTCAGATGCAAACAAATGTCCCCTGCAGAGCAGCTATGGAATTGACTCCTTGAAAGCCCAGCTGTTTCTATGTCCAGAACACGTTCACCTCGCCTCAGGGTCGGTGGCTCCCAACCAGGTAAACAGGAGGCAACAGACAGTGGGAGGGAGGAGATGAGGAACTGAGGCCAGGGCTGGGAGAACCGCACCTGCAAATGCATTGACCATTGAGCAAACCACAAATGGGATACACAGTCATCCAAGGAATACTACTCAGCCATGAAAAGGAACGAGAAACTGACACACTGCTCCAATGCACATGTACCTAAAACACACGATGCTGAGTGACAGCAGCCAACCACACAGACACACAGGGTGTGAACTCTCAGACACAGGGACTGGAAGCAGATCGGGGGCCGCTAGGGTCAGGGATGGAAGTGGAAGGACCTCTCTCTGTGTGCTGGAGCAGGAGTAGAGGTGGCCCTGGCACATTCAAGGCAGTGCCTGGCCAACAGTGAGCACATGGACAGATGTGGGCTAAACAAACCCAAAGAATAAAGAAGACACACTTCCTAGGTTAATGAGTGACTGATTATAAAATAATATGATCCAAAAATTCTATCTGAGGAAGCAGATGGTAGTGAACAACCCCCACGCACACCTTTCCGGAGTGCCCAGGGGGCGCGACTGGGTCCCACCAAGAGCAAGGGAGGAAACCAGGATAGCAAAGCTGCAGGGCCCGGAGCAGCCAGGCTCTGGGCTCAATCCCAGCCAGGCCTGGCTCCAGCCATGCAGCTTCCAGGTGACACTGCAGGGTACCTGCTCAGACCGCCAGGAGCCTGGCAGAGCCCAGCCTGCCCCGCAGGCCCAGTGTGCTGAGCCAGCCGAGCAGCTGAGGCAAACCCATCCCCCGCTCTGGCCCACATGTGGCCAACTGTCCCCATCCCACTGGCAGGACCATCACAGGCCCCCCCTTCTGCCCAGGGATGGGACAACTGTCCCCTCTCCAAGGTCCAGGACTCCACACCTTCTTGAATGCTCTCCAGATCCCCACGGCGGCAGCAGCTGAGCTCATTTCAAGTGTCCCAGAGAGAGGGTCACCTGTCCCACCCCAGGTCTGCCCCTGCCACAGCACCCGAGCAGGACAGAGATGACAACTATGCAGACGCCATTCTCCCTGAGGAGGCAGTGATGCGGGGGCAGTTGCTCCCCTCTGGTCCCAACATGTGGGGACGCCTGTCCCTCCCAGGTCCCTCCCTAGTGGCAATGATGAGGAAGCCCTAGTCCTGCCTGGGTACCCATGATGGGGAAGCGCCTGCACCCCAACTCCCAGCTCACAGTTCTGCTTGCCAACAGCACTCAGCTGCTACACCCCAGTGCCAGCCGTTGTGACTCCCAGGTAGCAAGAGCGTGGGGGTACCTGTCCCCTGCTGAAGTCCTGACACGGGACACTGCCCCTCGGGGTAGTAACAACGCGGGGCGGCTGTTCCCCTCAGGTAACGGCGAAACAGGGACACCTGTTCTCTCCCGGTAGTAACGGTGCGATGACCACGACAGGGTGGCACCTGTCCTGCCCGAGTAGCAATACTAAGGAGCACCTGCCCGCCCAGGTAGCGATGCTGCGGGACCGCACCGCCCACGACTGTCGCTGGGACGCGGTGGGGGACACCCGTCCCCGTGGGCTGCGCAGGCCCCGCCCGCGCAGGCCCCGCCCCCGCCGCGCCCCGCCCCCGCCGCGCGCCCCCAGCCCGTGCACGCGCCAGACACGCGCCCCCTCCCAGCGCCCTCCTGGCCGGGTCGGCGCCAGCAGCCTCCTTACCCGCGCGGCCCGCGTCAGGCTCAGGTCTTTCATGACCTCCTCGAAGGCCGCCGTCTCCTCCGCCTGCTTCTGATTGTGCAGCGCGATCTTCTCGCTGAATTTCCGCGGATTGTTCGAAGTCGCCATCTTCTCGCCGCCGCCTCCTCCTCCTCCTCCTCCTCCTCCACCACCTCTTCTCCCCCCCACTCGCCCAAGCCACCGCGCAGGCGTCGGCCGGGCCCACGAGCGGCCAGCAGAGCGCAGGCGTACCAGCGGGTATGAGCGGGGCGCAGGCGCACCGCAGCGGCGCGCGGCAGGGGCCGAGGGCGCATGCGCGCGCCTGGGGGCGGGGCAGGGCGCCCGGGGGAGGGGGCGGGGGAGTGGGAAGAGTGGGAACTTGGGCGCGGGCGCACTGGTGACAGCGGCCGCTTGGGTGATAACAAAATTAGCGAAGAGGCTGTGGTGCTCAAGCCATCAAGAGGGAGGTATTCTAAACCATGTCCTCCCAATTCACAAAGGCGAACCAGGCATACCCCACGGACAGGCAGCAAACTCCCCGAGGCTGAGTCTGGGCGCGGACCCGGAGCTGTGGCTACAGTTCGGGACTTCGACCATTCACAGACGTGTGCATTCGTTCAAATTCATTTCGTTCCCTGCACGTGTGCGAAGCGCCTACTGTGTTCCGAGCAAACTGGGGTGCGCATGAACAAGCAGACGCGGTCCCGTTCTTTCAGGATGCGCAGTGAGGGAGGGGAAGGCAACACCCACGAGTGACCAAGAAGACCACTGCTGGGCGGCTTGAGAACGACACGAGGACCACCAAGGTCAGGAAAGCAGGGGCCCTCGGCCTCAGCCCTGACCCATGCACGCTCTGCAGAATCACCTCTCACACCTTCCTTTTTCTTCCCCCTCACATACTTCAGCCCTGAGGACTGGAAATATGGAGGCTCAGCCTCCTCACTGCGCGCTTCCCCAGCTGCGGTCTTGAGCTAGGATTTCTGCCTTGCCGTGGGGTGCCAACAGAAGGACCCAGGGATCCCACCCACGGCCGCCAGTGCCGGGGGCGGAGTCTCCCCGCAGCACGGAGAGAACCTTTAGCTATATGCCAGCAAGCGAGGGACCCCAGCCACCAATGAGAAGAACCAGATTCCGGGGTGGAATTGCAGAGTGGGAGGCAAGAAAGGCTGCAGGGGAAGATGGGGATGGGGGTGGGGTCTCCAGATTCGTTTTATCCTAGAGTTGGGAACTGTGGAGGCATGCTGACAGAGATTATACGGGACACCAATTTTTTCCAAGCATGCTTTTACTCACGTTTTACGAGCTTAATAAAATGTGCATATTAAATACATGTGCATACACAGATTTTCATTTGGAGTGGCTTGGGCATTTGCCACTGCCCTATTTTAGGTTTTTTTTATTCATATGGCTTCCAGCATTTTCATGTACTTCTTTATTACCTAATAAGTATCTTCCCTGCCCCACCCTTTCTAGTGTCAAGAGCCATCCTTCCGAGACTTTCAATACCTGAGACGTGGACCAAACTAGCCTGAAGTGGAAGGACCCCGCCCTAAATGAAAGGCTTGGCCAATCACCGCAGCCCAATGCTAACCCCCCCATTGTGATTGGCTCGAACCAGGCACGTGATCTAGTTCCCCCAATGAGATGCAATTCTGGAACTTTTGTTTGAACCGTGGGAAAGAGAAGACCCTTTCTTTGGCCATCTAGTTTATAAAGACTGGTAGGAGTCTGCCACTGCTCGAGTTCGCCACGTGAAGAAGAGGGTCTCACAGAAAACATCTGAGCCAAAAGGTAGCAAGGCCTGGGCAATTTAGCGAGACCTCATCTCAAAATAAAAATCAAAAATAAACCAAGCGGGGCCGGGGAGATGGCCCAGTGGAATAAGCGCTTCCCTGGCAAGCACAAGGACCTGAGTTCAATCCCCGGTTCCGCAAAAAAAAAAAAAAAAAAGTTAAAAAAATAAAAAAAAATAAACCAAGCATGGTGGCACACAGCGGGCATATCACCATTCAGGAGGCTGAGGCAGGAGGATCTCAAGTTTGAGCCTACCTTTGACAACTTAGTGACTTCATGAGACACTGTCTCGAAATAAAATTTTTTAAAAAATGGAGAAGGGGAAACTGGAGACATAGCTCAGTGTGAAGGCCTTGGATTCGATGCCCAGCACAGCAAAAATAAATGAGTAAGTGTTGGGGATGTAGCTCAGTGGTAGACCACTTATCAAGCACTTGCCTAGCCTCATCATAATAGTACAAAAAGAAAAAAAACGGCAGCAGACATTATCTGAGCCCCCCTATCAATCTGTTTCTCCAGCTCTTCACCCCTGCCTGCCCTTTACATTATGAGCTGGAAGTATACTCCCTTGTTGTGTAAGTTTAGTTAGCATCCCCTTCCTGACCCTGGCGCTGAGTCTACAGCTCCTGTGCGTCAAGGGTGAGGCTGAGTGCTCTGCATCTGGCCACCCCAAGGTCATAGAGGACACAGGACAGCAACAAAGACAGCGGCTGCTGAGAGCAAGGTAAGCAAGTCTGGGAGCCGGGACTGGACCTGAGCCTGACCGCAGGCAGAGCGTGGCTCCTGACCCACGCCGGTGTCCACATGGTTTAAATGCAGTTAGTGTGTGGCAACCGCCCAGCCCATGCAAAGTGCCTGGCTGGCTGACGAGCTGGTACATGCCTGTAATCCCAGCTAATCTGGTGGCTGAGGCAGGAGGATCGCCAAGTTCAAGATGAGCCTTGCCAATTTAGCAAGAAAGACCCTCTCACAAGAAGGAGGAAAGGCTGAAGAACCCCTCCTGCACCCCTTTCACCCTACTGGGTCCCCAGAACCTGAGTGATCAGTGGGAGCACCAGCCTGCTCGCTGCATGATGCCAGGACACGGACCCAGGCCAGGGGAGGAGGGCAACAGGGTCAGAGCCTAGGCCCAGGGTTCCCACTTCCCCTCCGTGCTCCCTGCCTCCCTTCTTCCTTTCCCCTCACAGCAAGTCACCGCTGCTCACAGGGGCACAGACCTGCCTGAGGTTTCTGGGGGGACCCCCTTCTGCCACCCCCCACCACCACTCCCTGCAGATCTCCAAGTGCTGTCTCCTCTGCATCCTCTGACGCGCCCCCGCGGCACCTTGTCAGTGACTAGGCTTCTCCACAGGACCTGGCCTCCAGCAGCACCTCCCCCATCCCGGGAGCACTGTGCTCTCCGGGCCCTGGGCTCCTCCCTGCAGACTGAGTTCAAAGGCTGGCAGTATCTCCCTCTCCTTTTCCCTCTCCCCTAAAGCATCTGAGAACCTGGGGGTGCCTTTTGTGCCCACCTGAGCTCGTTCTGTTTCCTCAGACACAGCACAGAAATGTTCCCTGAGAGCTGGAGAAACTCCTGCTCATCCCTTAAAGCCCATCGCAAATGTTCCCGTCTCCCAGACCAATCCGGTATCCACGGAGAGCCAGGTCCTTCTGCCTGGGCTCACTCTCTCTAGGTCACTCTCTGGCTGGCCCTGATCCCAGAGGGCTAGGCAGGGCCAAGTGCTAATGTCTCCCTCAAGTTACAGTGCATCTTGCACACCACAGCCAGGTCTGCTTGTAGCTTTGTAGCCCCGCCTGGCTCATCTGTTACCTGCCAGCTTCCCTAGCAGCACCGCCCTTCTGTGGCTCCCCCCTCACTGTGCCTTGCCCGGGACCGTTGCACGGCCCACCCCGCTCCCCAGACTGCCCTTTGCCCTGTCTGTGTGCACACCTCCCGCAAGCCTCTGAGGCACCTTATGGAGAGGCCGCAACTCAGGAGAGTGCCCATGTGGGCCAGGCCTCAGCCAGGGTGCTCCTAGGGCCCACCGGCCTCTGCCAGCAAGTGTAGCGAATGGCACTTGTTGGGGCGGGCTGCCAGGAGGACTAAACATAACCTTGTATGCAGCATGCAGCTTGGCAGCCAAGAGAAGATGCTAATTTCATGCTGCTTCCCAGTTCTTATGAGGGACTTAGGTGTCTTGAGGTACCTGCATGATATGGAGGCGAATTCGGACTGTCCAGGCTGCAGACACAGAAGCATCCCCTGCTCAGAGCTCTTACCACTTCCAGCCCCCAGCAGAAACAAGAACAAGGCCAGCATTGTGGTGCACACCTGAAATCCCAGGGCTCTGGGAGGCTGAGTTGGCCGGGTTGGAAGTTGGAGGCCATCCTGGGCAACTTATGAAGACCCTGTCTCAAAATGTAAAAGAAAAAAGTTGGGAGTCGGTGCAGTGCATGGTAATCCCAGCACTGCAGAGGCTGAGGCAGGAGGGTCGAGGCCAGCCTGAACTGCATAGCCAGACACTGTCTCAAGGAAAAAGAAATACAACAGAAAAGACGGGGGGAAGGGGGAGTTTGCAGCTCAGCAGTAGAATGCTTGCCTAGCAAGCTGGAGGCCCCTGGTTCAGTCCTCTGCAGAAAAAAAAAAAAAAAAGGAAAAAAAGACTGGGGCTGTGGCTAGGTGTGAAGGCCCTGGGCTCCATCCCTATCATCCACACCAAGTGCAGACATGAAGCCCATGCCTGGTGGACAGGCAGAGAGCACGAGGGCCCCATGGGGTAGGTGAGCCAGGATGGGCTCAGGTTGCCCCTGAAGACAGCCAGCAGTGACTTAGGGCCATCTGGGCCCTGTTCCCGATAACACCCACAATTCCATGCATGTCCTAAAAGCCAGCTGAGCCCAGCAGGCTCCCCAACCTAGGTCCCTCCTCTGATGTCCCAAGTCCAGGATGCCTAGGGCCCCACCTACCTGATGGAGAAGTCAAGCTGGATTTATCTTTTTTTTTTTTTTTTTTCCTTTTTGATGCAGGGTCTCACTATGCAGAGCTCAGGCTGGCCTTGTGCTCACTTTGTTGTGCAGGCTGGTCTTGAACTCTCAGCCACTCTCCTGCCTTCTTTTTCCTTTTCCAGCACTGAGGATCGAGGGACTCATGAGTGCTTGGCAGGTGTTCAACCACTGAGCCCACCCAGCCTTTTCACTTTTTTTTTTTTTTTTTTTTTTGGTGATGCTAGGGATCCAACTCAGGACCTTGCACTTGCCAGGCTTTCACTCATGTACGGACTGGATCTCACTAAGTTGCCCAGGCTGCCTTGAACTTGCCACCCTTCTGCCTCAGCCTCCCGAGTAGCTAGGAGCACAGGCATGTGCCTCCTGGTCAGTGCTGACAACTACTGTTTTCCATGTGTAGTTGCAACTTTCCTGCCACCTCTGTGAGATGCCAGTTTCTTAGCACGTGCTTGGGCTACTTACATTGATGCTTGCTGCTTGCAAATAAAAACCCTGACTCAGATACAGTGGAAAGACTCCAGCTTGTTGATCATAACTGAAGCATTCGGGTGCGAGTGTCGGGGCAGGCACTGTGATCTCTCATCACAAGGAGTCTGGAGGGCAGGGGCCAGGATGCAGCTGGCATGCTTTTTGAGTTCAGGGATCTAAGAAAAGAATATATTTCTTCTTCCCTTAACTTGCTCTTCATGGCCACAAGATGGCTGCAGAAGCTCCTGGCATCATCTCCACAGAGGAAGCAGTAAGCGAGAGAAGGAACAAGGCCTCTCCCTGTCTAGAACAGCCAGCCCCTTAAAGCTTGCTGGCCTGAGCTGGGAAACACGGCCAGATGGAAAGCCACCCCAGTGGAAGACCCAGCCAACAAAGGCTCAAGGGAACCTTAAATCTGCCCCCAAGGCTCAGCACAATATTGCTGGCACCAAGTCAGGTTCTGAGGGTAGCTGGGGCATGGGTGGGGGCCCAGCTGGGTCTCCTCCTGCCTGGAGCCAGCACCCAGATGGTGCCCCGGGGTGTGCTGGCTTTCTGCTCTTGCCTGCTCAACCAGGATCTTTGGTGCCACCCGCTCCAGCGCAGTGCCCAGCCTGGGCAGGCTCAGTCGAGGCTCCCGTGCGAGGCGTGAGAGCCAGGACTTGGCGCCAACGACTGGGCGGAAGCCACCCTAGCGACTCTCCGGAGCCCCCCCGCACCCCCTCGCTGGCTTCAAGGCCCCAGAGTCGCTCTAGGCCCCTCTCGGGATGGCGTTTTCCCACAGCCGGAGCCCAGGTGCGGAGGAAGGCTCCACAGGAGCAGGGCCAGGCCTGGCGGAGAGGCTCGGCCGCAGGAAGCAGCAACCCCAGGGAGGTGCGGGCTCCAGGCCCCTGGGAGGCTCGGGCCAGCAGCACGAGGGCTTGTGCGCACACGCGTGTGAGTGAGCAGATATGTGACCCACTGCTGTGTACACAAGTGAGCAGGGGTGCTGGCACGCACACCCACACACACAGGTGTGCTCCTGAGCGTGCGCGCGCAGGCCTGTTCCCCCTTTCTCGGAAGCACACAGACCTTCACAAAGTGAACGTTCAAGCCAGTTTCTGCTAAATTAAAAACAGCTTTTGCGTGTTTAAAGTTTACAATACGAAAAATAATTTTCCTTTCTTCTGGGGGCGGGGCGGGGGCCGAGGACATTCCTTGGGCTGCTGTGTGGTTCTGCGCGGTCAGTGGCGCGACGCCCCCCACCCAGCCCACACCCCTGCCAGCTCATCGGGGACAAGATGTTCCAAGGTGTGAGCTGATTGGGGACTTGCAGCTGGCAGAGGCCCCTCTGCCCCCCTGGTGGGCCGAGCCTGCAGCAGGAAGCCTGCTTTTGGGGAGGGGGCAGCGTGTTGTGCTGAGGCCCAGGAAAGGACCCAGCTTTCCAAAGCCCGAATCCAAGCGCCCTGCAGTGCCCAATCAGGTCCCCACCAGGTGCTGCTTGGCCCAGATCTAGAGGCTGTCGGGCACTGACCCCTGGTGTGTGGGCCATACGGCTCTCACAGCAAGCAGACCGCCACTCTGGGGACTCCAGGAAGCACTCTTTGAGCCTGAGGGACACTGCTGACTATTCTGGAAAGGAGAGGCTGTGCCCGAGCTGAGGCCTGACACAGGACTGGAGCTGCTCCCCTGGCCCATGAGGCACTGGCCCCAGCCAGAGCCCGGCCTCACTCCGGGTACCACGTGAAGGGCCTGGCAGACGATGGCCCCAGCCCTGGGTAGCAGGAGCCCAGCCCCCAGCTCCTCTGTGGCGGGCAGAGGAGCCGCAGAGGCATGGAAGCCACCGCCAATCTGTGACCAATCAGCTGAGCCACCCAGGCTCAGCGCCGGCCGCTCCATTTTTCCACCATAACATTTTTATTAAATAAAAGGAGACATTAAGAGGCGATGTTGGCGGAGGCATGAGGTTAATCCTTTGCACGGTGCGCAGGCCGCGCAAACACGACATCCATCGTTTGTTAGCAGCAAGAAGACGCTTTAAGCTGCCCCCAGAGTACAGATCTCATTTTGAAGACAGCAGTGCTGCCTCCTTACAAAAACAGAAAGTAAAACAAAACAGAAAGGAGCAGTTTTGAGGTTTGGAGCTCAAAATGAATGTGGCTGCAGAAGCCACAGAGCCGTGAAGGGGAGACTTGCCCGCCCTGGGTTCCCAGCTGGCCTAGCTGATGGGCCCACCTGAGCTGGGGGCCTCAGGCACTTCCATCTGGGAACGGGATACAACAGGTGGGTACTGCATGCCTGCCCTCTGCGAGCGCTGGGACGCAGCTCAGGGCCAACTCAGGGTGAGGGCCAGGACAGGTGGTGTCCGGACGGGCAGGGAGGCAGACACAGCCCACACGGCCTGGCCCTCACGGCGCCTCATCCTGGCCATCCTCGTGCACACCACATGGTGGGGTGAGCTCATTCCAGAGCAGGGGCACCCAGGCGTGGGAAGGCCTGAGGACCTTACGTCGTAAAGCCAATGCAGGTAGGGAGAGCAGGAGTTGAGGAGAGCCCCTGACAGGGACCCTGAGGCGACCCCAGTGCCCACTGCCAGGACTCTAGGGGAACAAGGAGTCAAGCCCAGATCCAGCTGGCTGGGAGGGACGGGGGACCCAGAGCGGGGGACTCGTCCAGCCTGGGAGCGCCCAGGTCCTGCACCATTGGACGTGCGGCCCAGCAGGCTCCCAGGTCACCAGGGCTATCTCCTGGCCCCAGCGCGGGGCAGCAGGACGGGTGCACAGGCGATACCCGCGAAGGACTCGGGGAAGTGCAGGTCGCGCTCCCACTCATCCGTCTCCGTGTTGTATACCTGCACAATGCCCGTGACGTTGTTGAGGCGCCAGTTGTAGCCCCCGACAATGTAGATCTTCCGCTCCAGCAGGCAGCAGCCAGCCTCAGACTGGCCAGCCCGCATGGGCGTCACACTGGTCCACTGGTCTGTCTCAGGCACGTAGTACTCCACGGCCAGCACGTCGAAGCAGCGGTCCACATGGTCCATGCGGCCGCCCAGCGCATAGATGCGGCCTCCAGCGCCCACCATGGCATGCAGCACGCGCGGCTCGCTCATAGGGGCCTTGAACTCCCACTGGTCAGCCACAGGGTCGTAGCAGTGCAGTGCCTTCTTGTCTTCCACCGAGATGCCATAGCCCCCCGAGATGTAGAGGCGGCCCCCCGAGGAGGCGCCAGCGTGGCCCCAGGTGCGGCGCTTCAGCGAGCAGGCATAGCCCCACTCGTTGCGCCGCGGGCAGTAGCGCTCCACAGATGCCAGGCTGCCGGCGCGGTTGCGGCCCCCTGTGGCATACACCATGCCACACAGCACATTCAGCTGGAACTGGATACGGCTCTCCTGCATGGCCTGCAGCCGCAGCCAGCGGTTCAGGTGCGGGTCGTACCGGTAGCAGGCATCCACTGCACCCTCGCCACTGCGATACTGCAGGTGCTGGCCACCGGCCACATACACGAAGTTGTCCAACACAGCCACACAGGTGTGACTGCACCCCACCTCCATCTCCGTGAGCTCGCGGAAGTGGCGGGCACCGGGCTCGGGTAGCTGGTACACCTTGCTGCTGACAGAGCGGTCACTGTCTGTGTAGGGCGTGCCGCCAAAGGTGACCAGCGAGGGCACATCGGAGCGCACTGCGGTGCGTGGCGACTGCATCTCATGCTGCCGGAAGGGCAGCACCTGGTAGTTGAAGGCCTCCAGTAGGTACTGGCGGCACAGCACGTCCTCCACCATGATGTCCAGGGTCTGCACGCTATCCACCAGCTCCGAGGACTGCATGAGCGGGAAGCGGATGTGGCACAGCACATGGCTGGCACGTGGCCGCCGGGCTGGGTCGTGCTGCAGCCAGCGGACAGCAGCACGGAACAAGTCAATTTCAGCACAGCTCTGCAGCCGATTGCTCTGCAGGAAGAAGACCAGGCGCTCGAGTGGCAGGCGCAGGAAGTCCTCCTCCTCCGCGATCTGCAGGAAGTGGCGGAAGGTGAAGGTGTCCACTGACTCGCGCAGCGAGGCCAGGCTGAAGGTGGTGGCCATCTGGCCGATGTTGAGGCAGGTCTCCACACTCATGGCTGCCTTGAGGAACTCCTCGCACAGCTCCACCACCGGCAGCATCTGCAGGAACACGGCGGCGCCGAGCACGTCCTGCACGCAGTCCAGGTCCAGCGTCACCTCAGCGCTGTAGGCAAAGTCTATGATATGCCGCAGGCCGCGGGCCGACACACCCTTCAGCTCGATGATGTCCTGGCTTGCCTCCCGCATGCCGCCCGTGAACATGGCCCTGTGGGGTGGCAACATAGGCTGTGGGCAGGGGTGTAGCCCAGGGGTGCCAGGGAGCCAGACACAGCCTGGCCTGGTGCGCAAGAGAAACACAGACGGGGTGCAGTACTACAGCTGAACCAGGGCCCCCAGTGAACCACATCTGCAGCCCTTTTTGGTTTTTATTTTGAGACAGTCTCATTGAGTTGCCCAGGCTGGACTCAAACCTTGTGGTCCTCCTGCCTCAGCCTCCCCATGTTCTGGGATGACGGCATACACCATTGCAACTAGAAAGAAAGGAAGTTTTACTCCATCCCGGGGCGGCCTCCAGGAACAGACTTGCTGCTCACCCTCAACATGCACCTGGCCCAGGCCTGTCACTCGCCAGATGGCAGAGCCACAGGACGCACACCAGCAGTGTGCTTCCAGGTTCTGGAGCCCAGGGCTCCCCTCTGCGTCTCCTACTTACCACTGGACACAAGGCCTCCACTTCACTGGCCTGGGTCTCTGCGGCCACAGGGATAGGGAGGACACACACCCCAGGAATACCCAGGTGTCCCACACTGCTCTGCTGTGGGAGGCAGCAGGGAGGCTCAAGGTCCAGGCTGTGGCTCCCAGGGACCTGGAGGGAACCCAGCAGGGGGCCCTTCCCACAGTGTGGCTGGTGCTCACACCAAGTTTTGCATTTTTGTTTTTGTTTTTGAACCCACAGCCATCACACTAAACTCCATCCCCAGGCCTTACTTTTTATTTTAAGGCAAAATCTTGCTAAGCCACTAAATTGTCCAGGGCTGGGCTTAAACTTGCAGTCCTCCTGCCTCAGCCTCCCAGAGTGCTGCGATGTGGCCATGCACCACCATACCTGCCCAAGCTCACACTGATGCTTCCTGCAATGGGGCACCACATGTCTTGCCTCAGTGGTACCTGGCTCAGGGACATAGTGGGAGGACATCTCTGAGGATGCCGTAGGCGCCCCCATCCTGCCCCTGCCTGTCGCCCCTTGTCCTTGGGTGCTATGATGAAGACAGGCAGTGGGCCATGGGCGACAGAGAGAGCTTTGCCTTTTAAGGTCTCGCGGGCTGCAGTGCCAGCACGGGGGAGCCTTTAAAGGGCATTGCTGGCTGGCTGGCCCACCCGTCCCCAAATCTGAAATAAAAATAGCAGCGCCCCAGTTGGCTTGGGTGCTGCAACGCCCCAAAACAACCTCACAAAGCCCACAGGGCGGGTAGCCAGGCCTGGAGGCATGGTCAGCCGGTCACCAAAGGAGGGTGCCATTGCTCCCGTGCCATGGCAACCCCAGCTCCAGGTATCCCTCACTTCTAGCCCAGCCACTGCACAGGACAGATGGACAGACCCATAGACTCACCAAGGCTGTGGCCACCATGCAAGGAATGGGGACAGAGCCCAGCGCACAGGCATTGGCAAGACCCAGGTCACTGCAGTTCTCAGGCCCCCCTCCCCTTTGGCTGGTCTGCTGTAGGCACCCTGATGTAGATGCCAGGCTGCATCCCCAAGGCTGAGACCACTGCCTGGCATACAGTAGGCATGAAATACAGACTCTGGGAGGCTGAGGCAGGAGGGTCACAAGCTCAAGCTGAGACTGGACAACTTAGCAATTAGTAAGACCTCATCTCAAAATAAAAAATAGGACTGCAGATACAGCTCAGTGCAAAGGCTGAGTTCAATCCATACTATGGCTTAAAAAAAGAGAAAGAGCTGGTCAGATAGCTCAGTGTACTAAGTACCTGCTTAAGCAAGCGCAGGGACTGGGTTTTAGTGCCCAGCACCATGTGCTGCACCAGCCCTGCCCCCAGATGTACTGAGCAGGCCACTGAGATCAGGGGTGGTGGCACACACCTGTAATCCCAGCACGGGGGAGGCTGAAACAGGAGGATCACTACGAGTCCGAGCCGCATAATGAGACCCTGTACCAAATACATTAAAAAAATGACAATTAAAAGAAAAAGATTTCAAGGGACAGTCCTACAGCGCCCACCGCTGTGCCCAGAGCCAGGGCTGCCCATCAGGTACCTGAGTAGCTGTCTGCCCGGCACTTCTGCCCCTCTGTGACAACTGAGAACTCAGCAGGTCCACCAGCCCGGAGGAGAGGCCAGCACCACCCGCCCCTCCTCGGGTCCCTGGCCGCTGCCCCCACCCACTGCTGGGTGCTCACCGGAAGTAGTCACTGCAGGCAGCCAGGACCACCTTGTGCGCATGGAAGGCCTCTCTGCTGACGGTGAGCACGACGTCCAGCAGCTGGCCCTGCGCACGGAGGGCGGCCAGGCCCTGCAGGAGGCTGGCACTGTGGCCGGGGGCTGAGAAGGTGCACTTGAGAGTCCCATGCTTATCAGCCACGCTGTGGGGAGAGCAGAGGTGGACACGGCTCAGGGCCATGGAAGGCCAGTGAGCATGCAAGTCCACAGCAAAGGGCTGGGTACCCTGGGATGTGGTGTGGAGATGAGGGGAATGTCAGTATGCACAGGGCCTCCTTTTGGGGTGAGGAAGTGCTCCAGAGTCAGCCAGCGAGGAAGCTGCACAACACTGTAGAGGCACCAATTACTGCTGAACTGCCCACTTCCCAACAGCTTAGAGCTGGCCAGGGTGGCACAGGCATGTCAGGCCAGCACTCCAGGAGGCTGAGGCAGGAGGAGCACGGTTCACGCCTAGCCTGGGAAACCCAGCAACTTAGCAAGACCCTGTCTCAAAGAGTAAAAGAGTACAAGGATGCAGCTCAGAGTGAAGGTACTGGGTTTCATCCCCAGCACCAAAACCAAAAATACAAGTACGGCACACGCGACTCCTCCCAGGTCTTGTATCAACAGTGCACACCCGCCCTCAGAGGCCATCCCACAGGCCACAGCCACCCTCCCCAGCACCACATTCTCCCTGCACTCAGAGGCCCCTGCCTCCGCATGGCCCTTGGAAGACCCTCGAGAAAGGGCAGCCAGGGAGAGCAAGGTACCTGCAGTCCAGCACTGACTGCCGGAAGTAGGAGGACACAGTATAGAAAGCTGCAGGTCCCTCACAGGTAGGGCTCAGTGGTGGCAAGCAATGCAGGGGTCTGGGGAAGCAGTGCTGGGTGCTGGGTGCCGGGTGCCAGGTGCCTTCTCCTGGCTGAGGGGAGCAGGTGGAAGGGATGCCCACCTCGGCACTGCCCGCCCAGTCAGGAGCAGCTGCCTCAGCTCCTCCATGCCCCCAACAGCCCGGAAGTCTTGAAGGCTGGGAAGAAGACAATGATGGTCCCAGAGCCCTTGATCAGGCTGCCCCTGTCACAACCTGCTCAGCCCCTCGGCAGCTGGTGCACTAAGAGGCAAAGCAGCCCTGCACCAGCAGAGGCAGGCCAGAACAGACCCAGAGCAGGCACACCAGGGCATCTAAGCCCATCAGGGACAACGGGCAAGGGAGCCACAGGGCCATGCAGTAGAGCTTCTGGCCCCAGGTCCTCACCTCAGCCCATCGCCCACGCCCTCCTTCATGCTTGCACTGGGCCAGCACTCTGCTGATGGGTCTGGGCCTGGCATAGGGCACTCATGGCTCCTTATAAGGGTGAGGACAGACATCAATGGACTGGATGGGACATTTAGAAGAAGTAGCCAGAGCTGAGATCAGAGATGGAAGGAAAGGACAGGATGAGCGGGAACAGGACAGGACAGGATGGGACAGTATGGGACGGGACAGGGAAAGCCGGAATTCCTGACCACCATGCAGAAGCCTCAGAAGCCCCAATGCACACATGTGCCATAGTGTGGGCGTCCCTGCAGCCCACCCTGGGGAGTTGATGTCCGTGAAGATGTGGTGGACACACAAGGGACTTGGAAGGGACCCCAGAGGTCTGAACCCAGACACCAGCCCTTGGGCTGCCTGAGAACCCTGCCACTGTCCCGAAGGCCAGAGCAAGGTTACAGCTGGAGCCTCTCGCAACAGCAGCAGGGGAGGGTGCCATGCAAGCCAAGCCTCTTGTGGACACTTTGCCTCACAGATCCCTGTGGCCCCACCACAGCCTCTACCATTCTGCTTCACTCTGGCACTTTGTCCCCCAGAGCTGGAGGAGACCAGGCAGTGCAGGAGGACTTCTCGTGTCTCTCTGCACCCGCAGGGCAGGTGCGCATGTATGGTTGACCCCCAAAAAGGGGTTCACACAGAGACAGTGGCATCACGAGGCCACTCAGAGACCCCAGCCCCCTCACAGAGGCCCTGTCGGTCACTCGTGTTGTCTCTGCCTTCCGGGTGCCTGCCCACCTCTCTAGCCTCTGCTTTCCAATAAAAACAGCAGCACGGGGCAGGAGGCACAGGCACCTTCACTCCTCAGAAGCGTGCCCCTCCACGCACAGAAAGTACACGAAATCAGCACAGGCAGCAGCCTTGAGGGAGGAAAGCGGTGCACCCAGAAAAGGTGGGAGAGTAAGGAGGAAGAGACCTGTGTGGCTTCACAGCATCCTGGTGAGGACGAGTCCCAGGAGGAAGGCATGGCACGGCTGGCCACACTCTAGAGCCCCAGACTCCAGCCCAGAGATGGCCTCTGCGACCATTTGAGGGATGCAACATGGTGTTCCCTCAGGAACCCCAGATGCTCAGGTATGGACCCACACCCCCATGAGGGCGACACCCCATGCAGGGAGATGCTGGAAAAGGGCTATGGCGAAGTATCATCAAGGGAGGAACAGCAGAAAACGCCTGGGCCTGGTGGCACAGGTGCAGCTTCTGTTCCCAGTACTCCTGTTCCCAGTACTCCTGCAGGTGTGTGAGCCAGGGCCAAATGTGCCGCCTCCAACTTGGGCACAAGCAGGTAGGGGGCCACGTGACAGCAGCCAGCAGGGAGGCCGTGGCTGCACCTCACCCAGACGGAGGAGGAACCCACGCCCTGTGTGCCAAGAATGCCCCCAGAGGGCAGAAAAGCTGGCAGCGGTGCTGCTCTGGGGGAGGACAGGGACAGGGTGTCCACTTCCCTGCCCTGGGCTAGTCTCCTCAGCGGACAGCGGGCGACCACGAAGGCAGGCAAGAGCCTTCCTGGCATGGGTGTTCCTGGGGTTCTCAGGGATAGCACAAGTGACCAACAGGCCTCCGAGAGGGGAAGCTAGGCTGGGTCTTGGTGGCCAATGGTCTGGTCACCCCAGCTCTGGTGATCTGGGAGCTCAGGGACATGCGAGGTGCACAGGCCTTGGCCACAGGTGGGCGAGGCCGCCTTACCGCCAGCGTGTGGCAGCGGGGCACTCCAGGAACGCACAGGTTCCTCTCCAGGAGTCAGGACAGCCCCGCCCAGGAGACACCCAGCTGGATCAAAAAGGGAGAGCAGCCCCATCCCCCGCCCCTTCATGTCCCATGCAACAGAGGCCCGCATGGCTGTGTCCCTCCCTGTCCTACAAAGACTCCTCTGTCCCAGAGCCCCCACCACCCTGAGGGCAGCCACAGTGGCAGGCACCCCCAGAAGCTTAGACAGCGAGGTACAGCCCGGGTTGAGGTGGGCAGGAGCAAAGGGCAGCCTCACTGGTGACTAGGGAGGGAAAGAACCCATCACTCAGGTTGGACCCAGACAGGGGGCGGCTAGCCCCAGGAAGGCAGTGGCCCTCGGCCCGCCCAAGTCTCCAGACAGCCACTCAAGTCACAATCACCCGCACGTGAGTCATCGGAGTCCGTGCGTCAGCAGCCGGGTCAGGGTGTCCCTGGAGGCCACTCACCCTGGCTGCGTCCTTGGCCTGGCCCCGGCCTCCACATGGCTGCTCGCCCCACCATCCTCACCCTGCCTTGCCTGTGTCCCCCTGTGTGGCACCGGGTGGGGCATGTCCTCAGGGACATCTGTGTCAGGGAATGGCGTCCTCGTGGGGCAGCCTGGCCTTGTGTCTCCTCTGGAAATAGTGAAGGGATGCAGGAGGGGTCACAGGACACTCAGAGCCATGCCAGCTGTGGCCAGTGTCACAGTGACCAGGCCGGTTGGGGAGCAGGAGTGGGGGCCATGGGACTGCTCCTAGGGCTGGTGGGGGAGCAGAGCTGAGCACCCACCAGGGTGGGCGCCCCTCCTCTGGCCTCAACCCAGCTGCCGGCCTCATCCCTGCAGTTGCCTCCCGGCTGGCTAGAAACATTTGAAGCCCCAGATCATTCTCATTGGAATGTCCAAAAAGGAAAAAGAAAAAAAAAGCAAGAACAAGAAGAATTTCATGGAAACGTTTCTTTGGGGCTTTGTTAAGCCCTTTCCCACCCCCACGCCGAGCGGACAGCCAGCGCGCCTGTGAGCGTCCCGCACACACTGTTCTGAGCGCAGGCTCGCTTCCCCGGCTGAGAGCACTTCCACTTTCCAAGCCAGCTCCAGGTTTATTGTCCATGTGGCTGGGCGCGGCACATCGGAGCAGCACAGCTGGCTGGCTTGCACCCCGGCCCTTCAAAGCCTGCCCCGCCCAGGGTCCCTGTGTGGAGGGGCGAAGGACGGCAGTGCCCTCTTCAGCTCTGCCCCAGCCGGCAACTGGAGCACCGCCATGGATGAATGTAGAGCCTCATCAGAGACCCAGAGGGAAGGGGTGCAGACCCGGAGGGTGCGAAAGATGGGGCAGAGACAGGGAAGGGGGCCAGGGCCCTGGAACTGTGAGTGGAGCTCTGCGCCCACCGAACACATCTGGGCTCCTTTACATGCATGTATATGCGCAGACTCACTCTCCTCCTCTCCAACCACAGGAGACGCTGATATACCCCCCATTAACATGGACCCTTCCCCACACACCTCCCAGAGAGCAGGTGCCAGGCTTTGGGGAAACCGAGGCCCTATGCAGCCCTCACAACTGCAGGCAGCTTCTTTCCATTTGTACGCAGCCTGCCAATGGCACCAGGCTTATGTGGCATCTGGGACCAAGGCCCCAGGATCAAGAGGTGCAGAAGACTATGGTACGACGTACTCCCTGAGGCAGCTGACCCCAGTTGCTGTTGCTGTGGTTACCACAATATTTCACAGTTCTGGGTACTTGTGCTCCCGGCCGGCAGGATAAAGTCATTGTGTTCTGGCACCTGGAACTGGCCTCAGACTCGAAGGCCAGCCAGCAGCCCCCACACTCACGTCAGTGAGCCTTCCCCTGGGACTGTGTGGTGGCCCCATCCCCCTTCCCGGCCGCCCCTCCTGAGCAAGGCCCACTCCTTCCCAAAGGGTTCCCAGAAGGGGGGTGCACAGGCAAGAGCAGTTCTACTGGGAGATAGCAGGGGGCCCAGGAACTGAGAAGGTCCCCACAGCAGTGTGCCCCTGCAGGCCAGGAACCCAAATGCTGAAGAGCTGAGGAGGAGGAATCAGCAACCCAGAACAGACTGACTGACAGAAAGGATCTGCCTGGGCAGAAGTGGGTGGGTTGGGGTCTGGCACTACCCCACCACATGTGAGTC